TATGGAAACCTGGTGCCTCTGTGAGGTGTGCTCAGCATGACCTGCCCTCCCATCCTCACAGACTGAACACTCCTGAGGAATTGTTTCAGTATAATTAGGAATATTCCTTCTCCAATGGCACTTGGGATCCCTTTGAGTCTGGCTGCCTGAGTTAGTAGAAGGCAATGCACAGTATTGTCTAGGGGTGAAGAAGAGGCAGCCACTAAGCCCTTTTTTTGAAGTGTTCATTGTTGTTGCTCACCTACCATGGACAATGGGCAGTCTATACCATGTTTGTATAGGAAAATCTTCATGGACAATGCTAAAGCAATGACTGCCACTTTGGCTCACTTTCTCACTGTGATGCTTCAGTCCTGCTATAGCCAGGATTGCAGGATCAGCAAGGATCAAAAGATGAATCTCCACCAAGTGCAACGGAGAATATAGGGATAGAGCAAGCAGCCAGCCTTGGCCTGAAAGAACAGGAATGCTGGAGCTCCTGTGAGAATGCTTTCATTTCCAATTGGGTGCAGAAGTTGGTATTTCCTGGGGACAACTTGCAAGTCCCCCACTCAGGGAAACAGTATGAGCTGACTTGTGTTTCTGTTGACATTTATAGATCTCTGAGGAATGGTCTAAGGGAGTCTTTGTGGTGAAACAAAGTGATGAGGATATTCACACTGCCAACGAACGCAGACTGAAGGTTTGGGTCCTGTAACCTGTTGTTCCCCTCCCTCTCTATGTAGAGCTGCTGACATTAAGCATATGTGCCTCTGTCCCCAACACAGTGAAATTCCTCAACACCCTGTGATACTGACATACTAGGTGCACAGCCAGCAGTGTCCAGGACCCCTTTTCTGTGGAAAAGATGCTGTACAAGCCTAGAATCCAAACTTCCTCTTCCCCAGAGGAGAACACATAGCTACTTACAGGATCCTAGAGCTAGGAGGAGATCTGCTCTTGCAGGAATTCTTTTGGTTAGAATACAGCGACACTGACAGAAGTTATTCTCTTGTCCTCAGGAGCTGATTGGGGATATAGCTGGAAAGCTGCACACTGGAAGAAGCAGGAATGATCAGGTATGTATAGAACTATTTGTTTTTCTCCTCCTATATTACTCCCACACCTCAGGTCCTTACCAAGCTTCTTCCTGTCATCCCTTGCCTGCAATGACAATCTGCAGCATGTGCTGCTATGGCTTTAAGCTAGTGATGCTGCAGTGATTCATCATCACAGGGAAGTGGTTTCTGCAGGATTGCTGCCCTTGGAAAGCCCACAGAATCCATTAATTTACTGGCTGGGTGACATGCATCTTTTGGGATCAGCCTTTTGCTAATGACACACTTTGGGGAATACTGTGGGGGATATTTGGAGAATAGTGGAGGATATTCCATCCCAAGCTGCCTATACCTGAGAAGTCCACTGAAAAGAATGAGCTTTGGAAGGCAGTATACAGTAACTTTCATGAATAGGAGACATGGGGCATATCTGCTAAAATGTCCTTTCACATCACATAGAATGAAGAGTTGGTAGCCTGCCTTGCCTTTCAGCTGAGGTGTATCTGGTCACTAAGCTTGTCACATTCTCCTTTATCTCATTGTGGCCAATCTTGTCCAGGTTGTGACTGACCTGAAGCTGCTCCTGAAGAGTTCCATCTCTGCAATCTCCACTCACTTGCTGCAGCTCATCCAGTCCTTGGTGGAGCGCGCTGCTACGTAAGTCCTTTCCCAAGTCCATGGTCTTAATGCTCCTGAGACAGGAGACTTCTAGGCTTGCTCTTTGACTGATATCAATCAGGGCAGCATCAAGGCCTTCTGCAGAGGATGTCGAAGTGAGACAGTATGTGATAGTCCAGGGAAAGACAATGGGCCCTCTTTCTTCACAGCCTGCTTCAGGGAGACATTCCTCTTCCCCTAATGTATTATGGAGATATAAGAAGAGGAAGGCATAGCACAACACAGGCTAAATATGTTCTCATGACCTTGCCACAAAACAACCTGCAACTGCAACTCTATGCCAACAGTTGCTGCTCACCCCTTCCTCTCTTTCCATATGCAGAGAAATTGATGTTATCATGCCTGGCTACACCCACCTGCAGAAAGCTCTGCCCATCAGATGGAGCCAGTTCCTGCTCAGGTAAGCACCTTTCACACTCAGCTCTAGGAAGGGAAGCTTTCTCCATTCTTGGAGCCCTGTACAGTTGGAGCCTAGAAGTGCATCATTCTCTGATGGGGCAGCTGGGGGAGACACAGCAGAGCTAACCCTGAAAGCTGCCACAAGCACTCCTCAGTCCAGTGCTACTTGGCTCTTAACAGCCAAGGACCTGAACACTGCCTGTGTGCTGGAGACTGCCTCTCAGCATGCCCCACCCTTTGGCCATTCTTTAGCTTCAGCTTTCTCTCATGTCCCCTCCTAGCCACGCTGTTGCACTGATTCGTGACTCTGAGCGCCTGGGTGAGGTGAAGAAAAGGATGAACGTCTTGCCTCTGGGAAGGTAATGTGTACTTTCTGTGTAACCCCTGGGCATCACTTTGCTCTATTAAATGACCAAGAGGCAGACCATTACATCCTCTGAACCACTGGTGTTTGTTTGCTACACGCACTGCAGCTTCAAGATCTCAAGCCTTGCTTCATGCACCAAAGAAAAGTGCAATGACTGACATACCCACCAAACAGATGCTCTTCTCCCTTCTCTTTGAAATCAAGAAGTACAAGGCTTTCATCATGCAAATCTTTTTCTTTGGAAGAGAACTCCTGGCTTGGTCTAGAGTTCAGTTTGCTGAGCCTCAGACCATGCTACAGGGAGCAGTTTGATGCCAGATTCTTTTGAGGAGAGAAAGAGATGTCATCCCTCGTTGCTGGAGATCAGTTTTTGTTGCACTGTGCAGGATATCATGCATGACTTCCGTTTCCTTTTTCCCTGGCAGCGGTGCTCTGGCTGGGAACCCACTGGAAATTGATAGAGAGCTTCTGCGTAGTGGTAAATGTCTCCCTAACTGAGCAGCACGGGTCTGATTACAATATCTGGGAATTAGAGAAACACTGACACACTGTCACAGTGCTATTTTGAGATACACTGCAGCACCTCAACATGGGGAAGGAGGGTAATAAATACAAAAACAGAATAATTTCTGATGACCAGGAACACAGGTTGCAGGCAGCTCCCAAGGAATTGGTAAGCAATAAGACTTCTTACCAAATTAAGAAAGCACATGCCTGTATGCTGGGATAATAAATTGAACCACTTCTGGTACACACTGGCAACCTGGGACAAGTAACAATGCCTCAACACACCTTATTTGTGTTCCTTGGACTACTAAAGGGCTCACAAACACCTGCTGGGGCAGACTTCAAGTTAGGCTAAACATGATCTCTCCTGTCCACCACTTCTCTTACAGAACTGGACTTTGCATGCATCAGCCTGAACAGCATGGATGCCATCAGTGAGAGAGACTTTGTGGGTAAGTACAACTCCACCATTCCTCCCTCCCCCACATTAGAAGCAGACACCGGACACCTTCCCAGTTAACATCATTTAACAAGGAAGCTGAAATCCCACACTGGGAAGTAACCAAACAGAAAACCTTTGTACATTTCTAAGCTCCAGTCAGGGCTCCCTGGTTTGTCAAACACAAACAAACGCCCTTTTCACTTCTTGCTTTTCTACCTTTTCTGCAGTGGAATTACTCTTTGTTGCCACTCTGCTGATGATCCACCTTAGCAAGCTGGCCGAAGATCTCATCATCTTCAGCACCACTGAATTTGGCTTTGTGACTCTCTCTGATGCCTACAGGTAGGTGCCTGGTCATTGGGCAAAGAGCCACTTCCCTCAGTCTCTCCACTTCTCTTATCCCTTCCTGAGACAATGGGGAAGTGGATGTCCCTGCTGCACAAGACTGACAGATAAATCAACACTCCAGAGGATGAAAAGCCTGAAAGAAAGGCAGCCTTAAGGTGAAAATTCCTCATTAAGGATTAGTGATTCTAATTCTGGCAACTCAACCACATCTCCATTCACTGATCACTCCTCCCCAGCTACTGCTGGCAGAAATATGCTGTAAGAGAACAGGCACAGAAAACTTCCTTCTCTGCTGGGAATTCCTGCCAAAGCCCTTCCCAGAACAGCCCGGCTTTGCAATACTAACACACTTCCTGTCTCTCAATGCAGCACAGCCGCTGCCCTGCCTCTCTGAGGGCACAGAAAAACAAGTCCTGCCTGCTCTTGCCTTCTGTGCAACTGGGCCTTGAAGAGAAGCCTCTGTTTTGTCTCTTCTGAGAGGCAGCACCGGGTGGTAGCTCCAGACAGGACTGCAAAACCAAAGATTTTTCTTTGGGAAACATGAGAAACTCTGTGCACCCACTTCACTGCTTTCCTACACTGAGACAGGAGTCCAGTTAAGGGGGGTACCAATCACTTTTGCAGGGCTGGGCCAGCGTGCTGCATGTTTTAGTCTGCATCTGCACAGACTGGGGTCTTGCTCACCATTACACTCCCAACACTTTTCTTCCAGCACTGGCAGCAGCCTGTTGCCTCAGAAGAAGAATCCTGATAGCCTGGAACTGATCCGCAGCAAAGCTGGTCGTGTGTTTGGACGGGTGAGCCTGTTAAAGAAAGAAGAGGGGCAGGGAAACTGCTCATATTGGGGCTGAAGAAGCTTCCTTCTTCATGCCTCTGTGTAAAAATTGAAATTATGCTGGGAGTAGGCTGTGAATCTCTGCTGGGGCAATGTGCTTGTCTTCCTGTAACTAACTGCCATACCTGTTTCTCTCTGCAGTTGGCTGCAATTCTCATGGTTCTGAAAGGAATTCCAAGCACCTTCAGCAAGGATCTGCAGGTAAAGCAGACGTTAGCTTCCACTTCAGTTCTTTGAGGAGACTGTTGTCTCCTGCTCTAGAGAAGTCTTTTGCACTATATTTCTTGCACAAGTACAGCTTGTGTGCAAGATGATAAAACTGCGGCTGCATCAGGTCACCTAACAGCAATTTCCATCCATGCTCTCATGCAGGAGGACAAGGAAGCTGTCCTTGATGTTGTGGACACTCTGACTGCTGTGCTCCAGGTTGCCACCGGAGTGATTTCTACCCTCCAGGTAAGGCTTCAGCTTCTCATTACTGAACGTGGTTGGAGATCACATTTTAAGTGCAATACAGATGCAAGAGCTCTAGTCTGGTCCTAACATGAAGACTTGCTCACTCTTACTGCTTGTTAGTGCTCCCACCACAGGCAGCTCAGGTACACTCGAGCAGAATGTCCTTGAGAGCCTGGTCCCTCCTAGATGAAGTCCATTCTTTGAGACTACTAAAGGTTCCCTAAAGAGCAGCTGACAGTAATATCTCTCTCTGCAGATCAACAAGGAGAACATGGAGAAGGCTCTGACCCCTGAGTTGCTGTCTACTGATCTGGCTCTCTACTTGGTTCGTAAAGGAGTAAGTATCAGAGGAAGGCTTGGAGCTCTGACTTCTTTAGATTCAGAACACTGCTCAGTGAGGGCCTGAGATGAGGCCTTCTGTTCTGTCCCCAGGTGATGGTCAGTGTGGGTCAACAAACACGAGAGCTGGAAACACATTCTTTACATGTATCCCAAGTAGTGGAACTGCTGCCGGGTGGACTTGATAGTAATTTACAGGTGGAATTTTACGTCCTAATGCCTCCCCACTTCACGCCCTAGAAAACAAGGATTTGGATTTCATTTCTCTAATTAAAATCAAACCAACCAAAATGAGAACACATCTACTCTTGCCAAGACTGTGTTTCATTTGCTTGGTTACTTGATTGTGCTCTTTGCTTCTCATTGCAGATGCCCATCAGACAAGCCCAAACTGCTTCTGGGAAGGCCGTCCACCTTGCTGAGACTAAAGGCATCACCATCAATAATCTCACCCTGGAGGACCTGAAGAGCATCAGGTTTGTACCACATTACCATAGATCCCCTCAAAAGACTGATGTCACCCTGGCCTCCTTATGGTCCCCTTCTGTACGTACACTGGGATTGACAGCACTGCAAAATTCTTCCTGGTCTATATACCACTGCTGCTACTGCCAAGCTTGTATCGACTGAAGTTTGGTGAGGGAGACAACAGTGTTGCCTTTTGACTTGAGCAGGGCATGGGCCACAGATACTGGGAGGGTATGGAGAAATTCATGCCTTGACCTGGAGGCACCAGCACTGTAGAAGAATTTGGCTTCAGACTTCCTTCCTCCCTCTGCCCTTGCAGCTGTGTCTTTGGTATGTCAGGAACTGCTCCTGTCAGGCACTACAAGTACAGAAGCAGAGCTTCATGATGCTTTTTCTGTTGGAAAAAGGCTCAGCCTCTACTTCCTTATTTTCTCCACAGGCAATGAGCATGGAAAACCATCAAGCAGTGCCCCTCATTCCCCACTGATAGCTCTTCTCTTTGCCTCCCCAGCCCTCTGTTTGCCAGCGATGTCTCCCAGGTCTTCAGCGTTGTCAACAGCGTGGAGCAGTACACTGCCGTGGGCGGCACTGCCAAGAGCAGCGTGACTGCCCAGATCGAGCAGCTGAGGGAGCTGCTGAAGAAGCAGAAGGAGCAAGCTTAGAGTGTGGGGACAAATCCCGTGGCTGCAGCGTTGTGCTTATCACACTAATCCAGATTTAATAAACACTGTGGTGTATTGTAGTTCACTGAAACTCCTGTGTTGCGTATTGCTTTCAAGGGACAAAATTGGGCTTCTTCAGCCCTTCTGAGGCTGGTCACTGGTGTGAATGAACTCTCTCCTTCCTGGCAAAGGAACTGTTATGAGGGGACAAACTCTGCTGGGCAGCAGGAGGGCAGTAGAAGGGTGCTTCTACATCAGGAGACCTGCAAATGATGGGAGCAGTTGGACACAGCACAGGGCTGGACACAGCTGTGCCACAGCAAGCTGTACAACATGCTGAGGGAAGATTGGGGTGTCTGTAGGGAAAGACACATGGTAGTATATCTGTAACACATGCCACATGTCCAGCCCTCATTGAATTCCTGCTAGGACTATGTTTCCCAGCCAGCTAGGCTGCCTGCCTTCTGGCAGGGAAAAATTTCCTCACCAGTTGGCAGTGAAACATGCTTAGTCTTAAGCAGAACGTGGTCAGCAGGACAGCCCACAGCTCCTCCTCATTCATCATTAAACCACCTTCAGCTCTGTTTACTCCAAAGAACAGGAGTTGCATTGCTTCCAGGAAAGCTCTTTTTTCTGTGTGACCCAGGCCAAGCTAGCTGGGGGCAGAGTACTTGAAAATAAGCTGGCATTTCTGGCTAACCCTTAGTAATAATGTACCATCTTCCCTTCTGTCCATGCAAATGTAAAATCAGGACACAGGCAACAAAAAGCATTATATTAGGAATGCAAGTGCACCACTCTGGTGTCGTTTTTTATGGGGAAAATATTTGATTCAATAAGCATTTGTAACATTCCCCTGCATTAGTGTTCTGCAGTGATTTCTGCATGGAATGACTTCACTGAAAGGCAGAGGAAAAACTGTTTCTACAGGGAAGACAGGGTAGATTCCATTAAACACTAACTTGATACTGACAGTACAATAGTGCTAGTTGTCTTGGACAATTTCTCTTCTGTCACAACATTTTAAAGCTGGTGTTTTGCTCAGCACCCTGCCCTCCACGCTGATACAGCAACACGTTATTGACAGACTACTGCAAGGCTCTGCAACACACACAGGTAATGGCAGGAACACAAGCATTGCCTCACCATGCTTTGGTTAAGGGCTGTAGCACAGTGCAAAGTACTGTGAACTAAACCTCCTGCCATTAATGATGTACTACAGAAGACAACAAGTGCTTTCAATCTACATTTACAGCATTAGTTCTTCAAATACATAGAAGCACCAGCAACACAAACTTCCCTTTCTTCAATGCTTCCTATCACCCTCAGTCTCCCCTTACTCTTAGCCTTAAACACGATTTATTCTGCTGCCATGTAAAGAACACCACATTTAAATTACTGCTCAGTAATTTACGTATTTGCTCTGTCACTTTCTGTTCCAAAACAGAAACAGAGCTTGTGCCTCAGTCTCTAAATAGGTTAGCTGTGGAAGGGAAATCACTTCTGCTTACTTAACTGAGGGGAAAGGTGCAATAGTGGGAGAGGTGACATCAACACCCAACACTAACAGAGTCAGAGCAAAAGATCTCTCTCCATTTCCTTCTCATATTTCTTTTCTTCTCTCCCATAATCTCAATTAATAATTTCTCAATTCGTGCCACTCCCCTCTTTCTCCTTGTTTGCATCTGCTAGCCCTGCTCAGTACCTTAAGAGCTCTCAGCCAGATTTCCTCTTGCTCCTAGCAGCAAGTATCCAGCATTGCTCCTCATAGCTGGTACCAAATGACATGGGACCTTGCCAAGTTGAAAGCAAAACAGAAGTTTTAGCAGATTGTCACATCTCAGTCTCCTACGTAGATGAGCAGTTCATAGTCACTGCTACTTCCCACCCATCCACCATTTTCTTAAAATTATGGAGTAACGTTGAATGGGAGGAGACTCTGAAGGTCTCTGAAGCTCCACAGACATTACAGGAGACTGACCAGAACACCTTCACACTTTCATATCACACTACTATGACACACTGTGATCTGAGTGCTTAAAGCCCTGCTTCTCATCTTAAGAAGTTCTGCACAAACAGAAGGATCAGTGTCTTGGACAGTACTTGGGAGGGACTTGAGCTTAAATCTCTGCTCTGTCACAGACAACAGGAAGTCATTTAAGCCAAGAATTCAATAACTATCAATTTAGATAGACATTCTGACATGTAGTCTTTTAATGAACTACTGAAAGACCCAGCAGATGGTTCAGTAACTCTGATCTGATATTCAATCAGATAAAAAGCCTACAGAGGGGCTCTTAAACATTACACAAAGTAAAGAAATATTCACTTAGTCTCCTCAAGGAAAATATCTCTAGCCTGCTTTCATGCTCTGGAAAAGTTCCACTGAATATTTTGTCTCCTAAACACATTACTATGCGTGGTCATTCTGCCCTCTAGTTCTCAACTAGAAAAGCAGAGCTACTAACACTTCTCTGCTGTCACAAAAGAGTAGTGAGACCAGATGGATTTGTATGACAGCAACGGCCCCTGCAGGCACCAGGGATGAATATGAGACAGCAATCCCCAAATGTATCCATCTAACCTTCACCAGCAGCAACACAAACCAACTTCATTGTGATTCCTCAATCATTCCTATGCCTCATGTTACAGAGAGATGCAAGTACAGAGAAGTGGAAAAAATGACACAGAGGCCTAGAAGTAGAACAGAAATTGGAGCTTACACTGTTCTATTTAACCATGTAGCTGCTTAAATACAGGAATATTTAGAAACCAAATTACACAAAGAATGTGATCATACATATATAGGATGCTTAATGGTGTAAAATCTCAAATTGCAAAGGAGACACAGGGAAACTCAGGAAATGCCATAGAGATCCCATCTCCCCTTCTCTAGCTTTGTGGGTTAAAAAGAGGTGTCTCAGGGAGAGGTGTCAGGAGCAGCTGGGTGCCCTCTAACCCTCCTGGCTGCCGTGTGTTGAGCATCCTCCTCCAACCCTTCTGGACTTTGGGCACCTTCTCTGCAGTGCCTTAAGAGCAGAGGTACATCCTTTGTATATGTTACGCATGTTCCACATAACCAATATCGAGCCTGTATCACAAACACCAGGAGGTAAAGCCTCTCCCTGTATATAATCCATTCTGGATGCAAACGTGGTGTTACTGTTCTGACAGCTTCCCAACAACCTTCAGTCAAAACCCAGAATAAGGACAAAGACACTCAAGAAAGACCAACAAGACATGAGCAGCATCAAGCATGGAGGGATTCAGAAGAGGAAGGAAATTGGTGAAAAAATTTCAAACAGCTTTTCCCAGTGTGATGCTGTGCGTGTCTGCAGGCCTGCTAGTCTTAAAGGGAAAAGTCATCACATCCCCCCCAAAAAAAAGATCACAGGGAGAAATGTTTGAGAAGCAGCAAATTAAGAGTTGGGTATAAATCCAGACAGAACGTGAACTTTGTTCTGGGCTGATACTGAAGGCAGTGCTCTGGAAACCCAGGGACAAAATATATCTGCTCATTCAGGCTGAGTAGCCAGAGGCAGACAAGCCTGATGCTAAGCTGTGTCATTGCTTGAGTCCCCTTTGCTACAGAAACCAACATACCCTAATCATGAAATCCCACTGGGCTTCAGGCTTCATCTTCAACTCAAAAAGGGGACGAGTAGCAGGACTGAGAAAAGATAGAAAAGATGGCTAATTACGTCTCTTCCTACCTGAATCACCCTACAGTCTTGTGAAAGGCAAAAAAACCCAAAAGGGACAAGAAAATTGGGATGCGCTTCCTGTATTGTCTCAAATACTTCTGGCATTGTACAGATATAAAAAATACGTGGTAGCAGCACGCTTCCAAAGGCCAAGCAGAAACAAGCCACTTCTGCGGGGTGCTACGAGGGAGGGAGAAGCGGAGTGGGGCCGGTCGCAGGGACACCCCGCCCTGCCGGGGCGGGACGAGCTGCCAGCAAGGAGCCGAGGCGTGTAAAAGCGAGGAAGAGGGGTGAGTAGCACGGAACGACCAGCCGGGCTGAGCTGCTGAGACGGTGAGTGGGGCTGGGGGGGCTCGGTGGGGCCTTACTGCTGGTTGAGGTACCAGGGAAGGGCCAGAGCTGAGCTGAGCTGTTTCATTCCGTTCCACAGGTTGCAGTGGAAGTGCACACGAGCAAACGTCTGAAATGGCATCTGAGGTGAGGGCAAACTTTGCTTTTCCTGCCGGTGCTCTGGCAAATGCAAGCTCAACTTTGTTACAGTCTAAGTCTCTGCAGCCTGCAATTTCCTTCAGGTTCCTCCCCTTACCTCGGAGAGACTAATTTAATGCACTGGTGCACTTCACTCAGGCCAGCTTGTGCTTAGGCAGATACTTTACAAAAGCTTGTGTAACAACTTCTATATACAAAAGCTTCATTTTCAGTTTTGCGCCTGGTGACTAATTGTCTTAGCAACTCATGCCTTCTGCCTGCAGAGTGGCTACTGCAGCCCTGGCTTCCTCAGCTCTGGTTACAGATGAGCGTCCATCAGCTGTCAGTCTGTGCTAGCCTGACCAGAGTTCAGTAGCTAGCTAAAGTTAATCCTTCTGTTTTGCTTTCCTGACTGCAAATGTATCTGTTGCAGTTTCTGCTGACCCACCTCTTACTTCAGTGGAGCCCCATAGCACAGAAGATATGCCTAAGACAGAGCAGTTCCTCATTCAGGCACTTAGCATCTGGTACTGGCTTTTGATTTTACATCCCTATGCCATAGTGCCATGGGCACTGGATCCACTGAGGACCTCTAACTTTTCCTTTCAGATTCTGATTTTTCTTTTTACCTCCCTTCAGCTGGCTGACAGAGCTGCTGTAAAGATGTGAAAAGAGCTACATGCAACACTCACCTCTGTAGGCTTTCTCTTGCTGTCCTCTCAGACACGTTGTTTCAGCAGGGATTGGCAGAAATGTGGAGACAGTCACTAGGGAAAAAAGTTTCCAGGGTTACTCAATAGTATTTTGTCTGACTGATAAAACCCCAGCACAGATCAGTTTGCAAATGTCTTGGCCAACTTTTTGCTGTCCATGGTAGTTACAACCATGAGAAAAGACTGACAGGGGTACT